TCCGCTGCTGTGCGCGCTGGCCGGGTTCTCTCTGCTCTGTGGGGGTGAGTGGGGCTGGGGACGCGGGCGCCGCGGGTGGCCAGGGAGGAGTGGGAGCTGGAGAGGGATGGCGAGATGGACAGGGACAGGGAGAGAGAGGCAGAAAGGGAGGGGTGGAGAGAAAACAGAAGGAAAAAGGAAGAGGGCAGAGGAGAGGAAGAGAGGGACGCAAATCCAGAGAAACGTAGAGGCTGAAACGAGGCTTTGGAGGGAAAAGGTATGGAGGATTTTTTTTAAGGCTTGGTGGCGTCCACCTGTGATCTCAGAACTCTAGGAGGCTGAGACAGGAGGATCACAAGTTCAAGCCCAGCCTGGGACAGTTTAGAAACATTGAGATTCTGTCTCAAAAATTTAAACATTTTTTTAAAAAGGGTTGGGGACGAAGCTCAGTGCAAAGGCCCTGGATTCAATCCCCAGTACCGCAAAATAAATAAGACTCACAAAGTAGAAATGAAACGGGGCAGGGCGGCACTTTTGAGGCAAATGAAAAGTTTAAGAGAGATCTAAAGACCACAAGAGCAGGTGAGGGTGGTGAGGGCCTGCCTGGGGCTGAGAAGAGGCAGGACACCCAGTCTGCAGGCTCTGCAGAAGGGCTGCACAGACTTTGAGGAGACCCACAGGGTCTGGGGAGAGAGATCAGCGCTTCTCCTGCCCGGTGGCAGAGAACCCGTGCTGCCGGTGGCCCTGGGCTGGGCTGGGGGCCCGCAGGAGGGAGAGGCCACCGGGGGTCTCGGAACAGCGGGACTCCCCGCCTTGAGCTGTCCCATTGGCCACTGGACCCGGCCTGAAGTCTCAGTGCTGATCCTTCCCAGGGACTGGAAGACAGGAGGCCGTGTCCCCGCCTTCAAGGGCTGCAGCCCAGGGCAGTATCAGGGAAGCCCGTCCGCCATCCAGGACTCTGCTCCCCACGCCGCTCTGAGGTTTGCAAGCCACATCCTGTCAAACCCAGGGCAAGGCCTAGGTGACACCCCTGTCCCGTTCAGGGCCAGTAAAAGGGAGGGATTGAGCACCCCCTGATCTCAGGATGCCCCTACCCTGGCTCTATTACATTACATCCTGAGGCTGTTTCCTCCTCTGTAAACCGAGGAGAAAGCGCGTCCATTTTCCTGACTCAAGTTTATCCTTCGTGGCAGAGTAGTACTCCACTGTGTATAAAGACCACATTGTCTTTCTCCATTCATCTCTTGATGGACTCATAGGCTGCTTCCAGTTCAGCTATTATGAGTTAAGCTATGACAGCTATAAACTTGATCCTGCCTGTATGGCTGGGTCGTGATGTCTTTAACTCTTTCTGGAAAATACCTAAGAGGACAAGCATTGTTTTACTTTTTAAAAAAATCTTTTTTTCAGTTTTATTGGACACAGAGTAAGCCGTTGTATGTATTTAGGGGGTGGTTTGAACCTTCGGTTAGGAAAGCAGATGGATACAAAACAAGAATATGTAACGCTAGACCCGAGCAATGTGTACCCATGAACCTTGCTCTTGGTATTCGCTCATGCCGATCCTTCTAGCATCTACAACCCCACCTCCTCTCCTCCCTGGATTGTTTTATTTTATTTTTTAAGAGTAGGAAACTTTTATTAAGAAAAAGAAAGCTTCTGTCTAAGAGAGACAGAAGTGGTACCAGAAAATGAGTTGTGCCCGACCCTGGATTGTTTTAAAGGGAAATAATTACCGTGCATCTCTAAAAGATAAGTACTCTTAATAACCATAACTGCAATAGCGTTATCACGCCCCCAAAGTTAATAACAACCCCTTACTTTCAAATGTTCAATCACTGCTTAAATGTCCTGATTAAGTCATGCTTTTATGCATCATTTCTTTGACCCAAGGAAGGTCACCTACATTGCATTAGGTTAACTCTCTTTGAATTTATGTTCTCTAGCCAAGCGTGGTGGTGCACACCTGTAATCCCAGCACTCGGGAGGCTGAGGCAGGAGGATCACTGTGAGTTCACCAGCCTGGGCTACCCAGTGAGTTCCAGGTCAGTTCCAACTGCATAGAGAGACCCTGTCTCAAAAAACCAAAAAAAAAAAAATAATAATAATAATAAATAAATAAATATATGTTCTCCCCCAACCTCTTTTTCTCCTACCATGGATTTGTTGCAGAAACTAAGTTTGTCCTGAGAAGATTTTCATATCTTCTTTTGCTCAGTCCCTCGCCCTGGTGTGGCTTAACTGTTCTACCCTGTGTATTTTCTGTAAACTGATGGTGACGTTAGAAATTTGATCTCTTCCCAGTTAGACTTTTCTTTGCAAGGGAACGTCACTCTCTTTATTATTTCAGTTTGCGTTCCTTTTTGGGATGAGGGGGTTTGAGACAGGGTCTCACTATGTAGTTGAGACTGACCTGGAACTCACTATGTAGCCCAGGCTGGTCTCAAACTCACAGAGATCCTCCTGCCTCAGCTTCCCGAGTGCTGGGATTACAGGCGTGTGCCACCACGCCCGGCTAATTTGTTTTTTTGTTGGTTTGGGGTTTTTTTGCATTCCTTTTACTGTTGGAGTTGGACTCTTTCTTCATAGATACTTTGGTCATTTCTACAGATTATTGTAAACTGTTTCAGACTTTATCAATTGCTATGCTGAGATTTTTCATATTGATCGATGTCCAGGTGTGGTGGTGCATGCCTGTAATCCCTGTATTTGGGCAGCTGAGGCAGGAGGATCCCTTGAGTTCCAGGCCAGCCTGGACTACACAGTGACATCAAGGCCAGCCTGAATTACCTAGCGAGACCCTGTCTCAAAAGTAAAAAAAAAAAAAAAAAAAATCAACTACACAAACAAAAAACATATATTGATCTGTAAAAGTTCTTTGTATATCAAGTAAAACAAACTGGCTTGTGTTACCTATAGAAACTTTTTTTTTTAATTTTGAGACAAGGTCTTACTATGTAGTCCAGACTGGCTTTGAACTTACTATGTTGCCCAGGTTGGCCTCCAACTTGTGGCAGATCTTCCTGCCTCAGCCTCCCAAGGCTGGGATTATAGGTGTGCACCACCACACCCCACTGGAATGTTTTAGTATACAGATGTAGGAACATTTGAGTTGTGAACTTTCACTGATGCAAACAGACCTTTCACTGCAAACATTTCATGTGAACAAATTGCAGAAGTAGCTCATGTGTCTGCCAGCCATTGTCAAAGCTGTGCTGCCGTGTGCTCACTGTACAGTGAGACCGAACACAGCAGTGCCTTGCTCAGTCAGAGCCCAGGACATCCGGAGGAGGAAAAGCAGCAGTGACTCGGAGGGGACTGGTAGGAAGTGCAAAGCAATATATGTTGTATGTTTGTATCAAAGATATGGGACGCCCAACCTGCAGGCTCTTGGGACTTAGGACTTAGAAATGAATCTGATTTACAAACATTATCCTGGAACGGAACTTGTTTTTAAATTGGGGACTTACTGTATCACAAATCCAGTGGTTTGAAAGCATCGGAGATAGGAGGATCCTTCTTCCTGTCTAGACTGGAGCAGAGTCACCCACCAGCGTGGCCACCAGCCAGTCTGGCTCTGCACTGACCCCTGAGAAAGGAGTAGACCGGGTGTCTTGGACGGGGCTCTTTGTTATGGCAGCTTGACTTGTATCCTGAGTGAAATACAAATTTAACCGGAAACAGAATTGGTAACCTCCCGGTGACTCACAAAGCCCAAATCCGGATCTGGAAATTGATCCAAGAACGAGGGAAAATAGGACATGTCCCTCCCTCAACAGAACAAAGTAATAACGTTCCCTGGAATGTGACCTTTGTCTCAGAATCCAGGCTCCTCTGCTGGTTTGGCTCCATTTATTAGCTTTCTTCCTACCCTCATTTCAAAATACTGTCCTGCCTCCTTTTGTAACACTCAAAAAGCACTGATGGTTTGGAATGAATCGCAAATATTTATACAAGTTCTGGATGTGGTAAACTTTATGATTCTATTATATCGAATGTGGTCACATATGATTAACCCCCAAGTGGCCGGTATTGCTGCTGGTAAAAGCATAACATGACCTTATGATGCAGAACCTTTTAAAAATTGCTACCGAGATGTTTATCACTCCGCTCGCAGACGTCATTTAAGCTGTGGCCACTTGCGTACTGTGTGAATCCCAGAAGCAAAAGATCTCCCTGGAAGGCCTGCAAGAAGCAGGCAAGTCTCAAAGGACAGAACCTATGGGCCACATCTTTGAGTGTGTCGGGGGCGGTACTGGGATTGAACCCAGAGCCTTCACGCTCAGCTATATCACCAGCTGTTTCCATTTTATTTTTAAATAGGGTCTCACTGAGTTGCCCAGGCTGGGCTGGAACTTGTAGCCCTCCGGCCTCAGACTCCTGAGGAGCTCTCCACATCTCTTGAACAGGGCAGCCAGCCTGGTGCTTTCCCAGGACCTCTGGGTCCTGCCCAGCTGGCAGCTCTCACATGTGGGCAGTGCTCCTCTACCCATGGCCACATCAGGCCCAGGCAGAACCGGGCCAGAGAAAGCAGCCCAGCGTTCAGGAGGTCGGTTCCCAGCTGGCAGGGCCAGGAGGGCGGGGGAAGGAGGGAGCCCTGGGACTGCAGGCTTGGCCAACTCCTCCCGGACAGTTGTGTGTGTGTGT